CTGGCAGAAGTGTACATTCAGGAGATATGTTAATAATCAAATCTTTGCTGCTAACTGAGAAGCCGATTTCTATAATGTAAATAGAAAGCATGTTAGCATGAAATGATATTGTTAATCTCATCATGCTGATGATAGACTTGTAATAATTGTTCATTTAACCAATAACCCAGGTGGTGGCAACCAGTGCAGACCATTAGATCAGCTGGCGCAATCCCACAGCTCCTGATCTTGGTCTGCACTGGTCACTATTTAGTCAGTACATTTGAAATAATCCATATAAATTATAAATGATCTTAGCCAGATTGAAACACAGACAAGTTTATTTAAGATATTTAGGATCATTTAAGATATTTAGGGTCATTTAAGATATTTATAGTATTGAAGGGTTAATAAAATTTTTAATGTACTTGTAAAAAATGAACCAGAGACATTATTATAGCTAACAGATCATGGTTTATGTGGCATTCTAAGCCCTGTCAAGCCTGAAATATTGTAAGGTCAAAAGTAGTTTTCATATTGTAGTTAGAGCTTTACTGAGAAACTAAAATAAAAATGATGTTTACTTATGTGAAAGGTATGTAAGCTAGAATTTACAAGGCCCATTTATGAGAGGGCTATGCGAGTGGTATACTAGACCTAGAAATGAGAGGGTTATACGAGTTGTTTACAAAAAAACCCCAAAAAAACCAAGGTATGAGAGGGGTGTGTGAGTTGTATACAGGTCCAAGTATGAGATGGGTATATGAGTGGTATGCAACACCCTGGTGTTTGAGGGGTATGTGAGTGGTATGAAACACCCAGTTGTTTAAGGAGTACATGTGAGTGGGATGTAAGGCCTCGATTTGAGATTGGAATGTTAGTTGTATGCAGTGCCCAGGTATTTAAGGGGTGGTATTATTGCCCTGCAGCATTAAGAAATGGGTCTTTTAAAGGCTATAAAACTTCCAGTCATTTGATTCTCACGTCCATATATTGACAACATTTTGTTGCATATCAGCAGAGAAAAATGGAACTGGCATTGCAGTACCCTTAATTTGTTAATAGAAAGCAAAAAGTTTTAAGTTTTGGGTAATTGATTATTTTAAAATATTATGCATATATATTTGGCATATATTCTATTTCTAAAACATTATTTTGTAATTTCAGGGTCCTGTACAACTGCGTTTTGAACGCGTACAATCGGGCAGTTTACCGCCAAAGTTTGGGGAAGTTACTTATGATGCTGGACCAGAAGATAAATATGTAAGTCATTATGATTACATACATTTTTCAAATGTTGAAATATAGTTGACATATATATTTGTATCTCTTTACCTATCTTCAAGAATTAGTCTTGCTAATAGGTGGCAATGTGTAGAGGATACATTCAAACCTGTTTGGGTTGTACCATGTGTTGATGGATTGTACCACGTGTTGATGGGTTGTACCACGTGTTGATGGGTTGTACCATGTGTTGATGGATTGTACCACGTGTTGATGGGTTGTACCATGTGTTGATGGATTGTACCATGTGTTGATGGGTTGTACCATGTGTTGATGGGTTGTACCATGTGTTGATGGGTTGTACCATGTGTTGATGGGTTGTACCATGTGTTGATGGATTGTACCACGTGTTGATGGGTTGTACCATGTGTTGATGGATTGTACCACGTGTTGATGGGTTGTACCATGTGTTGATGGATTGTACCAAGTGTTGATGGGTTGTACCATGTGTTGATGGATTGTACCACGTGTTGATAGGTTGTACCACGTGTTGATGGATTGTACCACGTGTTGATGGGTTGTACCATGTGTTGATGGGTTGTACCACGTGTTGATGGTTTGTACCATGTGTTGATGGGTTGTACCACATGTTGATGGGTTGTAGCACGTGTTGATTGGTTGTACCATATGTTGATGGGGTGTACCATGTGTTGATGGGTTGTACCACATGTTGATGGGTTGTAGCACGTGTTGATTGGTTGTACCATATGTTGATGGGGAGTACCATGTGTTGATGGGTTGTACCACATGTTGATGGGTTGTGCCACATGTTAATATGTTGTACCATGTGTTGATGGGTTGTACCACATGTTGATGGGGTGTATTACATGTTGATGGGGTTATACCAGGTGTTGATGAGTTGTACCACGTTTTGATGGGTTGTAAAATGTGTTGATAGGTTGTACCACGTGTTGATGGTTTGTACCACATGATAATGGGTTGTACCACATGTTGATGGGTTGTACAATGTGTTAATGGGTTGTACCATGTGTTGATGGTGTGTACTATGTGTTGATAGGTTGAACCATGTGTAGATGGGTTGTACCATGTGTTGATGGGATGTACCACGTGTTGATGGGTTGTACCATGTGTTGACAGTGTGTACTATGTGTTGATAGGTTGTACCATGTGTTGTTGGGTTGTACCATGTGTTGATGGGTTGTACCATGTGTTGATAGGTTGTACCACATGTTGATGGGTTGTACCACGTGTTGATGGGTTGTACCATGTGTTGATGGGTTGTATCATGTGTTGATGGGTTGTACCATGTGTTGATGGGTTGTACCATGTGTTGATGGGTTGTATCATGTGTAAAGTTGTATTGTCACAAGCTCCCAAGACAAAATTTTAATAGGAATACAAATTTATGCAGTCAACAGGAGTGAAACATACATGCAAACGTATAAACGCAACACATACAAAAAGTCTGTCACTCTGACGTAACACACAATAGCCTTTATCAGAACAAAATGTTGAATATGGATTTCTTTGGTTGAAAATGCCTGCACGTTCATCAAAAAAATTAGGTGCTCCTTTGTGCCTTAATGAAATAAAGCACGGACAAGCACCTGATGTCTTCTTCTAGCAGTGAAGCTTGAAAAATTGCCATGTGACATTACAGTGTGTTTTAGCGTCAAAAAACAAAAGTTTCAAAGCAAAAGCATTTATTTCTTTAGTTCAGACCAATTATGTTTTAGAGAAACCACCTGTCAATTTTTTTTTCACATTTTCAAAGACTATTTTAAGGGCATATCTTCAAATACTGACATTATCAAAATTATTAAAGTATTATCTTCATGAAAGCTGGCACTAAGATGGGATATTTTTTTAATATTTCATAATTGAAAAAAGATTATTTCTTTTTTCAAATATCACTATCAGATTCTGCAGATGCCATTAGACACTGAGAGGATATTATTCCCCAGAGAGAAATATCCGCTATATATAGACCTAATCATGGGAAACCACCACATCATGCCTGCGGTCTACATATGAATGATCCTCGGGAACTCCATGAAAATCATTGTTCGTAACTGTTAATGACAAAACCTGGCCACATGCAGCTTCATACTTGTCTAGCTAGATAGTTAACTGTTATATTTGATTGAAGTAGCATAAATTCCCCCCTTCAACATTATATACTGTAGATTATTACACTTATATCAGCTGTTTACTTGAGGCTGCTTCCTCAACAAGCTAACAAACATTTCCTGGTGTAGAGCTGATTTACTGTAACACAATTGTAACTCAATTGTTATAAAGTAAAAGTTACTTCACTGTTGATGGGATTATAGGCTAATTATATATTTTTTAAAGTTGAGTTAGACACCTTAGGGTAAAAGTCTTACATTTCAAGAGCCCAATACACATTCTGCATATTTTACTTAATCTGTAACAGATGTTATTTTGCAAGTTTTGTAACAAACAAATCTTATGTAACTTACTCTCAAAGCAAATTGTTTTAAGATTTTGTTTGTCAGTAATATAACTGATTACACAGAATTGAGATGTAGCTGGAATGCTTAGTGGTTAAAAAGGAAACTGACTTTGGATCTTTTGCTGCATCTGCAGTACAGAGGATTTGAATTCTATTAATTGGTTATTGCACGACAAAACCAACATAATGGGTTTGCGACCAGCATGGATCCAGACCAGCCTGCGCATCCGTGCAGTCTGATCAGGATCCATGCTGTTCGCTATCAGTTTCTCTACTTGTAATAGGGTTACATTGTAAGCGAACAGCATGGATCCTGATCAGACTGTGCGGATGCGCAGGCTGGTCTGGATCCATGCTCAGGTCGCAAACGCACTATGTTGGTATTGTCATGACGCGGCTCATATAATTCCAGCAAGCATACATGTAGTTACAGTCAAAAGGTATAGTGTCTGAAATACAGAGAAAGACAGGTGGCACTCTTACATGTAAACTTCGAAATACAGTCACAGTATTTGTAACAGATAATACATCTACATGTATTTTATTTTTATCCAAAATAAAAACTTAAGAGATATTAGTTATTATGAAGATAAAATAGTGGAAAAAAAAACACACACAGAAACTTTAATGTTACAGCTCTAGTCTTTCTGTATGCATTTAAATCCAAACAGACAAAAAACCAAACAAACAAAAAAAAACCCAAAAGATTTCAGGTAAAAGAAAATATTTTATCTACATATATTTTCTACCTTCTCTTCTATAACATATCTAAAATATTTAGAATGAGATATTCATAGGGAGATAATTATATTTCTGCAGGCATCTCTATAATTATGATGTGATTATGACAGACAGTTATATAATTTTCCTATTTACCTGGGATGTTTGCTTAACTGCGATGTATGGGGGGAAGATTTTGAAGGTTAAATTGCTTAATCTGTGAACATTAGCAGCGTTTAATGACTTGTTGCCACCGGTGTTGGATGATGCCACTGATGTCAGCAGAGATGGATGATGCCACCGGTGTTGAATGATGTCACCGGTGTTGGATGATGCTAGTGGTGTTGGATGATGCCACAGGTGTTGGATGATGCCATCGGTGTTGGATGATGCCACTGTAGTTGGATGATGCCAGTGGTGTTGGATGATGCCAGCGGTGTTGGATGATGCCAGTGGTGTTGGATGATGCCAGCGGTGTTGGATGATGCCATCGGTGTTGGATGATGCCACTGTAGTTGGATGATGCCAGTGGTGTTGGATGATGCCAGTGGTGTTGGATGATGCCAGCGGTGTTGGATGATTACATCGGTGTTGGATGATGCCACTGAAGTTGGATGATGCAACTGGTGTTGGATGATGCCACCGGTGTTGGATGATGCCAGTGGTGTTGGATGATGCCATCGGTGTTGGATGATGCCACTGTAGTTGGATGATGCCAGTGGTGTTGGATGATGCCAGCGGTGTTGGATGATGCCAGTGGTGTTGGATGATGCCAGTGGTGTTGGATGATGCCAGCGGTGTTGGATGATGACATCGGTGTTGGATGATGCCACTGTAGTTGGATGATGCCACTGGTGTTGGATAATGCCACTGGTGGTTGGATGATGCCACCAGTGTTGGATGATGCCACCGGTGTTGGATGATGCACTGGTGTTGGATGATGCCACTGGTGTTGGATGATGCCACCGGTGTTGGATGATGTCACTGGTGTTGGATGATGCCACCGGTGTTGGATGATGCCATCAGTGTTGGATGATGCCACTGGTGTTGGATAATGCCACTGGTGTTGGATGATGCCACTGGTGTTGGATGATGCCACCGGTGTTGGATGATGCCACTGGTGTTGGATGATGCCACCGGTGTTTGGATGATGCCACTGGTGCTTGGATGATGCCACTGGTGTTGGATGATGCCACCGGTGTTGGATGATGTCACTGGTGTTGGATGATGCCACCGGTGTTGGATGATGCCATCAGTGTTGGATGATGCCACCGGTGTTGGATGAAGCCACTGGTGTTGGATGATGCCATCAGTGTTGGATGATGCCACCGGTGTTGGATGATGCCACCAGTGTTGGATGATGCCACCGGTGTTGGATGATGCCATCAGTGTTGGATGATGCCACCGGTGTTGGATGAAGCCACTGGTGTTGGATGATGCCATCAGTGTTGGATGATGCCACCGGTGTTGGATGATGCCAGTGGTGTTGGATGATGCCACCAGTGTTGGATGATGCCACCGGTGTTGGATGATGCCACCGGTGTTGGATGATGCCAACGGTGTTGGATGATGCCACTGGTGTTTTGGAAGAGCAACTGGATGATGTCAGCAGTTCATGCATTCTAACCAGACACTTTTGTGGTTATTATAATCATTTACATA